CCATTGGCAGTGACCAGCACCCCCAGAATTCTAAGAGGGTCTTCAGGGGGTAGCCATGAGATTCGTGGGTTTTCCGGAGGTCTTCCCCCCTGGTGGTGCATCCACCACCCCGTAGTTTTTTGTCCCCAATTCACTGTCATATCTGACAGGCGACAAAATTTATTCATGAGGTGTTGAATTTCCTCCATGTTAGCCGCTGTCGCCTCTACCATTATGGTAAGGTCATCAGCAAATAGGGAGCAGATGGGTATTGCCTCGTTGGGGATATTCGCTATTTTGATTCTGGTGAGGTCTTTATTGTGGCGTAGATTAGCTGATAATGCCTCCATGATTACCAAGAAGAGGTAAGGGGCAACGGGGTCCCCTTGTCTTACTGACCGTTGAAGCTCAAAAGGTGGCGCTACCGACCCGTTGACCTGGACACATGTGGTGGCGTTGTTGTGGAGGATCTTAACCCAGCGCCAAAATGTCGGACCAAAGTTCATTTTGTCTAGACATATGTCTAGGAACTCCCAGTCCACGTGATCGTATGCTTTTTCAAAATCAATGAAGATAATTGTCGCGTTGGCTTGTTTCCTTCGTGCTAGTTGGACCACTTCATTCACCAGCAGGATGTTCTCTTGGATATTTCTTCCTGACATAAACGCAGTTTGGGCTGGGTGGATGACTTCGTCCAATACAGTCGCCATGCGGTTGGCCAGCGCTTTTGAGAGCATTTTGTACACCACTGTGAGCAGCGTAATGGGTCTATAGTTCCGTATGTTCATTTTGTCCCCTTTTTTTGTACAGAAGAGAAAGTACCCCCTTCCCCACGGTTTCCCCCATTTCCCCGTCCTCCCACACCTTCTGATAGTATTCCCATAAATCGGTGCTGAGGTCCGACCACATCGATTCCCAAAACTCCTTGGGGAAGCCATCTATCCCAGGGGTTTTATCTTCCTTCATTTGAAGGAGCGCGGTCCAGACTTCCTCCTTTGTGAGTGCTGTTTCCAGTTTGTCTCGTTGTTGGGGAGAGATATGTCGGTCCATTGGGAGTAAGAACTCCTGTATTTCCCGAGTCCTTTCTTCCTTATTGTGAGAGGAGACTTGAGAGGTGTAAAGTTGTTTAAAGAACTTTCTAGTAATTAGCGTACAATGCGCTGTGTCAGTGGCAATGGTATCGTTATTCTCTGGATCGAACAGGGCTTCAATGACTGTCCGCCTCGACCTTGCGGTGGCTAGGGAAAAGAAATGGGTGTCCATTGAGGCTTCGTAGGTGAGCTTAGCCATTTTCCCTCTGATTCTAATGCCTTGCCATCTATGTAGGGCATACTGTAGAAGTTGGTCTTTGAGATTTTGGATGGAGGTAATAAGATGTTTCGGGTCTGAGTTTGGATGGATAGCTTCTACTTGTCCTTCCAGGGCTACTAACTCCTTATGGGTGGTCATTTCGAGATGTTGTCGTAGGGCCGCTTTGGCTTTAGAGAATTCCTTGCATTTTCTGGCTAAGAATATTAAGCCGTTGTTGAACCATTCGAGGTATGAGTCAAAGAGGTGTTTCTGTTCACGCCAGAACTCCCATTCATGGCGGATCATCTGTGGAAAGGACGAGTCTTTGAGTAGAGAGGTGTTAAGTTTATAAAAGCCTGGTCCTTGATCCGACTTTTTCCGCATTGTAAGTATTATGCCACAAGTCTTATGGTCGAGACCCGGATACGGGCTCCGGGGGAGGATCAAGGCCCACCTCAAGGCCCCCTCCAGATCATTTGACATCAGGATAAGATCAATTCGGGATTTGGATAGGCGCATCGGATTGTTATCTCGGATGCACGTGAATGTCCGCGATTGAGGGTGCAGTCGTCGGAATGTGTGAAAGACTGAGAGTGACTCGCAGAGATCCGCCATCATTTGTTCATCCTCTATTGCAGCAAAGGAGGGGGAGCCTTGAGGGTTCCATCTATCCAAACTCTTGTTTGGGGCCGCATTGAAATCCCCTGCTATTATTAGGGGGATACCTTCCGGGATTTGCGTACCGACCCTTCCCAGAAACTCCCTCCTCTCCCCGACGGAGTTAGGTGAGTACATACAAATAATGCAAAGTAGCTCTAACTCTAGCATTCCCAGGACCGAGGCCCATCGTCCCTCCGCTTCGTCCACCGTCCAATAAACAGGTTGAAATCTGGAGTCCGGCGGTATCCAAATTGCAACCCCCGCGGAGCCCGGTGTGGGAGCGTGAGCTCTTATAGCCATGTGGGGCCAAATCGAGTTGTGCACACGGTTATGGTCCGGGATATCCTGTAGATGTGTCTCTTGTATACATATTACATCCGGCCACCGCCTCCCTCCTATACCCCTGAGTTGATCCCAGATGGCTTGGCGCTTTTCTGGCCTGCCTGCTGCCATCCCGTTCACATTGAGGGAACGCAGATCCAGGTCGGCTGACTCAACGCATTTTTTCCATGCCTGGTTCAGACATTTCTTCTGTAGTTTGTCGTAGTAATTTTCCAAGTAGCTCAAAATTCTCTTAAAGTTCTCTCAGTCAAAGCCGGGTATTGGCCCCGGTTTCTCAAACTTTCAAAATTCGATGTAAATTTCCATATGGGACGCTGGGCCCGGTTCCCAGCACGTGCTGCTCCCCACGAATAGATTGGAGCCTTGTCCCCAAAAAAAAAAAAAAAACTTCTCTGTGTGAAGTACACACAGTTCCCTTTTCTCGCTATAAAGAAATACCTAAATTGTTCCTCTTTAAAGACGAAAGAAAAGAAAGATAGCCCACCGATGAGGGTTAGCAGGATGGGATCCCCATCGTCAAACTCCAAAAATAAATAAATAAATAATCAAAATAAATAAATAAATAAATAAATAAAATGGACCTCCTCAAAAGAGAGAAGCGTGGATTGAGCTATAGGATCTAAGGATGAAATCAGGCAGATTGCCTCCTGATCAAGAAAAGGAAATAGTAGAAATACCCCTCCATCACCCCTGTTTTTCCTGACCATTCAGAGGAGCTTGACAAGAGGACACTGTAGAGACCACTGGGATAAGTCACTGAATGGTCAGAAAAACAGCGATGACGGAGGGGTATTTCCTTTTCTAGATCAGGAGGCAGTCGATGGCACTATCTCAGGGTCCCTTGGCGGTAAGGGAGGAAAGCGTAGAGTGGGTAATTTATGTAAGGGATGCTGAACCCAGTTTTCAGGAATAATAATATCTGCAATTAGATTCCAAGAAACCAAAAAAAAAGACGCAGGTTTTCAACGAAAGGAGACAGAGTCACACGGTACATTTATGAGCGAGAAGTCCGCAAGCGACAAGTAATCACTGGTGCCAGAGTCAAAAGAAGACCCTAGGAAAGTGAGCAGTCGGACCCAACTCGGACACAAAAGTCAAAGAGTCAAAGATTTCTCAACAGTCAACCATGGCAACAAAACTTTTTATTTTATTTTATTTTATTTTTATAAATAAAAAGACCCCCTATATATTCTGGGGGGGGAGCCAGTCCGGTTACTTATCCCTGAACCATGCACCAGAAAGAGAAATCAGGGCCCCTGTAGCGTAGCCGGGGACTAACTAAAGTACCCAGTCCTACCCTGGTAACACTGACTTCTTCACTAGGATGAAAACTGCCTCCATGAAGCGGTGAAAAAAAAAACACGGCGACAAATCTCACACACATCCAAAGGCCCAGTGCAGGTTCTAGTCGACGTTTCCAAGGCACACCAGGTCAAGGCACTCATTGGCCACCACCAAATCTTGGCCACACAGATCAAGAATCTCAGCCCTCCGAGGAGGCAAAAGGAGTCAGGCCAAGCAGAGTCAACACTAACACAAGAGCGGCCTGCCCAAGCCCATTCGTTCATTCTACCTTGCGCTGCCTTGAGGCTGGAGCACTGCTGTCAGAGCGCTAGCGCTGGAGAGAGGCAGATGCAGAGCAAGAGCAAGAGAGAGTG